TTAACTGTCTTTTGGTTAAGGTAGTCATTAGCAAAATATGAGACGGCCCTAGGAGGCAACAGTGTTATGACATGGCTGTGAGGTGGACATTCTGGAAAATGCTTTTTGTCTCTATGTCAGTGAGCAAATGGAAAGGTCCAGTTTGCTGTAGTGCTGTGAAATCAGCATGTTTTAGTGACACAAAAAAAGGTTTTCCCAAAAGTAAAAGCCTAGACCTTTTGAAGTCAGAGCTGTCTTGGTATCAAACAGAGCAGACAGAAGCCTATTTTTTGGGGTTACAGGTGCTGAAAATTATTATGCACTGTCAGATCTACACATATTTTGTATATATTCAGTTTAATAAAATGAAGTACCATAATGAAATCCTATTTGAAAATTACTTGGATTAACTGTAATTTTGGAAGTAATTTTTAAGTGTCTTCTTTTGGCACTCGCCTCAAATACTCCAAACCTTAGTTTCAACTGCTTTCCTTTTCTAGAGTCAAAGATTTTCCTCTCATTGATATTTTTGTGTTTGCAAAACATCCATTACTGCAGTGTTTGAAGCCAGATGAGATGCTTAGGGATGTACTTATGACTGGAAAACGCCATGTCTTTTTTGCCTTTATTGAGTTTTCCCACTTTGCATCAGTAGCCTGATAAAGTTGCAACCCTTTGTACCTCTGATATGGCTTTTATCTCGGGCAGTTCCTTTCCATAGGCTTCCTTGACTCAAGTCTGCATAGCACAGATATTGAGAAGCTCGTTGCCTTTCTTCTTTTGCAATGAATTTCTTCCTTAAGGAACTTTACAAATGCTGGATAATATAAACCATGGTTATATATATATATATAATATATAGGGAATATATATAGAATTCTTTGAAACTGTATTGATTGAAATTTGTCCTTCAAACAGAATATGCCCATAGCCCACAGGCATATCTGTGCTGTGTCTAAAGCTAACACAGGAGACTAGCTTGTAAGAATTTCTAAAATACCAGAAAAGCTTATCTTTAACCTTATGTCACAACAGTGGTCAGTCAGACTTGTCCTCTCCCTTTGCTTTCACTTTTCCTTCTCTGGACCACTGAGAAAGCTTCATGCCAACAGCAGGTTTGGGGTCTGTGTGTGTGGTCAATCAAGCCTAGAAGTTTGCATCTCAGCAAACTGCATTGCCAGACTCCTGGCTATGGCTGTTGTCCTGCTCTGACCTGGTTTGCATTTGACACCTTCAGCTTTCACGTTCCATCTCAAGTCCAGTTGCACATGGTCACGTTTGTGTGACTGCCTACATATGTGTAGGCTTCTTAATGATGGGGCTGCAGGTCAAACTAAGCTGTGGCCATTATTTAACTTGTGTCTAGAGGCTATATGTCACTATTTTCTCTTGAGCACGTATCACTCTCTCCAATGCAATTTTCAATGTTGACGAATCACACTGAGTTGCTCTCTCCATGTCTTTTCTCCTCGTATTTACAAAATCATCGGGTGTGCAGACTCAGCTTCTCAGCTCACCTGTGTCTTTAGGAGCCCAGCCTCTGCCACCACTCAGGAAGCCCATGGTTTGTCTTGGGCAGAGGCAGCAGGGAGAGCTGGAGCCTGAGGGCTGTCTGTGCTCCCAGCCTGGTGGCTGCAGAGGACTGGCAGACCGTCTGAGTAAGCTCCAGCCTGGCCAGCAGTGTTGGCCCTTCAGTCACCATTTTCTCTTATAAATACACTTAAGCTGTAAGTGGACTATTCATTTGAAGTGGTACTGGCTGATACTACCCATTTTATTTTTATAAAAAGGCTGTGCTTGGGAGTAAGTTTGAATAAATTGTCAGGGTTCATCTGCCTCTGAGATCCTGCAATTGTTATTTCAAGTCACATTTTAAAAAGCATAGGCCAGCAAACTTAAGGCTCATCCATGCAATCTGTCCATGGTGTATCATAAGTCCAGTCACTAATTGCAGGTTGAAGCCACTAAGCCTCAGCACTGGAGCATATTTAAGGGAGTTTTGTGGAATTTCTGAAAACATGTGGCTCGCCCTAGGCAGTGAGTTGCATAAGGGAGTTGTGCAATGCCAAACTGCCTAAAGTCTGTCATAATTTATATACCTTGCCTTTCTACTCTATCTTCCTTTCCACAGCTGCAGGTAAGAATCTGCACTTACTCTTGGACAAATGAGAAAATAAGACTTGACATGATGAAAAAGGCAGTGGCTTTTTTTTTTTTTTTTTGCACAGCCTATGCCATCTGAAATCAGTGATGCAGGTAATGCCTTCCAGGCAGTGTAAACTTCAGTAAGGACTCCAGGTAGCCCTTGAGGGAGCATTAGACCTACCTCTTTGAGGTAAGCATAAGGTGGTGCACTTTGTACATACTCAGAATATCTGGGCTAGCAGAAGTAAAAAGAATAGTTCAGCTGGTTAGAGCATGGTGCTAATAAAACCAAGGCTGTGGGTCCGATCCCTGTATGGGCCGTTCACTGAAGAGCTGGACTCGGGTCCCTTCCAGCTCAGAATATTCTGTGAAATAAACTGTGGGCAAGGGATGAAGATGCAGAAACCATTTATTGCTCCTCTGTGCTACTGATAATCAATGTTCATAGAGTCCCTGCTAGTACCAAGAGCACCTGCTTCTGAAGTTCAGGTACTCCTGGGAGTTAACTGGTTTGACTAATGCCACTTGCTACTTGGCTTGAGAGAGAAGAAATTAAAGCTACAGATGTGGTAAGAGGAGTGTGAAATGTTTGCAGGTGAAGAGGAAATGACTCTAAATAGTTTGGTTTTCTCAGTCACCAAAAAACCCCAAATGAACCCTTTTCACAATTTTTGTGAAAAAGAATCCTTTCAAAGTTTAAGAGAAACTGCTTGAGGAAAAAAAAAGTCAAAAGGTTCTTTATTTGCAACTTTAATGTGAACATTCATCAACTAAATGTTTGTTTTAAATTTTTTATTAATATGGAGTCAATGGTGGTGAATCAGGCAAAGCAGAAGTGGATAATTTCACTGAAACGTCATAGACCTTAAAGGCAATGCTAAATTCCAGTGAAGTAATTCCTCTTCTAGTTCCACTCAAAAATGACCCTTTATTGCTGCTTTCTGCTCAAAGCACCTCTGCTAGGCCATCTAAATTGTGTAAGTGTTGTGATTCCCGAGGGTATCTCTTTTCCTATAGTTTTCTGCCTAATTCCATTTTAATGGCTTTAAATACATTAAAAAAAACTTGTAATGATACGTGTTAGATTGTAGTCTGTTTGTGGCACTATGTCCCAGGCAAAGTCTTTTGTGCCAACTTGCAGGGATCAAACAATTTTTTTTTTCAATTTCAGTATCTTTATGCAGAGCACTTGCTGAATTGGACATTATCCTCATTTCACTGAAATCACGGGATAAAACTCGAGATATGTTTGGCTCCTATCAAGGCAGTCAGGACCATTAATTAGTAATCTTGGGAAGTTATTTAGGCTGGTCTTTAGGTCACAGTGGCATTACTCACAGTGATGTAGTGAAATGCTTTACTTTTTGATTTTTTAACCACTGCAGTTGCTATCTTTTTTTAGAATTCAGAAATTACTGTGCTGAGTATTTACAAATTTCACAGCACATTTTGTTCTCTGTTTTAAATCCTGCATACCAAGTGCCTGCCTGGGGCAAAGACAAAAAAAAAAGTTAGCTTTGATACACCAAAACTGGTTGAATAAATCCCGTGCAGCTGGCCTGCGTGAAATGTGCCCAGTGACAGCAACCGCAGCGAGGATTCAGAGGGTTAGGGAGAGCTCTGTGCTGTCACATGCTTGCAGTGTTTTATTGCTTTGGCTGGGAAGGGCAGTAATGTGTAGGTGTCCTGACTGCTCAGTATTAAGTGTGCAGAGTGATTGCCCTGTGGTTCCCTCAGGCATGTATGCAGACCAACCTGATGCACAAGTGTGCAATATTGCCTTCTGTGTATGTTTGTACATGCTTTGGTGTTTTCTGACTTTGGAACTGTGGTTAAAGCCTCAAAGGGAATCCGTGAGTCTGCAGCAGCTGAGAATACCACTAGAATTTCTAGCAGTGGATGTTCCTGTGTGGTTGTGTGTCTGTCCCATCACTGGTGAGGAAATGGCATTGCCTGGCCTGCACTGCAGTGTTTGTCAAGGGAAATTCTTGGAGACTTATTTAAACAGTCAGGTCAACACAGTACAGTTTATACTTGTGTGTGCTTGTGGATGAGATGCCAGGAACTGTTATGGACTGGAGACTCTTTTTTCTGCCTGTGCTGTTCTCACCACCAGCTCTGTTCATCCAACTGTCTCCACTTGGCTTCTTTTTGTAATACAACCAAGCTGAGACATAGTCTCAAGGGGAAAGTGACTTAAATCTGGATCTTGGAAAGTCGTGAATGAAAAGATACACGGTTCACGAAAATAATTTTTGGAATACAAAGCTATAAAGGCTGTGACTGGTTCACATGATCAACTTGCAGTTAGGTCACATTTTCCTCTAATAGTGCATCAACGGGAGTTTGGAAAGGCTGCTTTTACTCATGTTGCTTTTGGCAGTGCTCTGTGGTGCAACTTTTGTGAATCCAGCTCCATTCTCAGGCTCCATAATGCTTCCAGGTTCTCTAGGAACAGGCACAAGAGTAACTGCAAGGAGTGAGGCCAGATTTACAGAAGTGACCTATGGAGCTCAGAATGGCAGGACTCAGAAAAGAAGAAAATATAAAGGCTTTCATTAATACAGGCATTTATCAGAAATGCATTAAAAGGGACTTAAAAAAGAGATTTCTATGTATTGGGTGGTAAACAATTTTTCAGCAAAATGAGATAAGAATAAAACTTTCCTTGGATCCAGTTTGGCCAATAGCTGCTTCTCTCAGGGTTTTTTTGCACTCTTCCCATGTCATCGTGTAGTGGTCATATATTGAAATTACACAGTGGCCTATAGGGACCACTGGCCTGAGCAAGTACAAGGCAATTCTTATGATGCCTGTGCTGAAAGTTTTCTCTTAATGGGTTTTCTCTTGATGGGTTTTGGTTTGATTTGTTCCAGAATGGGATCACCCTTGTTCCTGTTGATGCATGCTCATGATCTGGACCCCACGGCTCAAGCAAGACTGAGGGACAAATCTTGTCAGGCAGCGGTAAGATTGTGTTACCTATGCAGAGGAGGATGTTGAAATCTGGTATATGTAGCTTCTGACTTCCAGCTGTTTGGTCTGAAGCAAGGGACAGAAAAGTTTCTTTTCTTTATTGATGTAAGATCAATGCAGAGCAAAGAGAGGAGGTGAAAAATCCTTAGGAAAAATAAAAAGAGAAGCAGCACTGAGAGTGGGCCAAATATTTTACTCATATGTGTGAGCATTACTCATATAACTTCAAGAGAGTACATGCTTTAACTGTGCATGTACCAGCTGAGGACTTGGCCCATAATGTCCTTTATAAAGCTCTGATTCCTCCCCAAATAGTTTTTCCCTCCCTCTTCAAAGAGGCACCTGTTGCTGGTGGAGTTGTTGATGATACTGGATTAGTGCACATGCAGTCAGCCTGCTTGGCCTCGGCCCTTTGGACCCAAAATGAACTCCAGCTGCTGTTGCCCAGAGCAGGTGCTTCATCCAACCCTAGCAGCTGTTTGAATGTAGGCTGTCATGGCCAAGAGGAGGGGGTAGATCCCCTGAAGTACCCAGAGGAAAGACTCATCAGCAGAAAGGAAGGAAAAGGGAGTGTGCCATGGAGATCTGATTTTTATACCCACCAGACAAAAGTTGTTCTAGCATTTCCTTGTGCAAATAGGGAATAGTCACTGTCACTCTGCATCCACTGAGCCTGCCCAGTGCCATGATGGATTATGGTTCCCAAAATGAGGCTAATGGACCACTAAAGACCAGCAGAGCCATGACAAATGATTGATCATCAAACTGCCAAACCTGTCCTTTGAAGCTATGATATAGGTATGTGATGGTGTGTGAGACATTTTAAGGGCTGGTAGTGTTTCACAGTTGTTCAGTCTCTGTAGTCGCTGGTTTAAAGCTTCAGTGAGTGGCCCAGCAAAAGTGAGATTGGGCACGGAACAGTGTACAGGCTAATGGTCTGCTACATGTAACATCTTGGGATTCATACTCACACTGCCAGAGGGAAGAAAACAAAAGCAGAGATAATCTGGGGTATGAAGCAGTGACAGGAGACAGTGCCAGGGGAATGGAGGATGAGAGGACGACCTGGAGGCATGTAGAGATGTGATGGTGGGGAGGTAGCAGCCAGAGTTTGAGCAGGAGGCACAGATAGCTCCATGTCAGAGGTAAAGCAGCAGCAACCCAGGATTAGAGTGAAGGGGACAGGACAAGGATGCAGGTTTCTTGGAGTAAGGGAATACTGCCTTTAAAGGGACAAAAGCACCTTAGAGTAAGGGCAATCCGGAACTGCAGGAGGTAATGGGAGGGTGCCTTGCAGAGCAGGGGAGTCTCAGAGTAGAACCTGTTCAAAGTAATTTCCATCGCTATGTCACAATCAGCCCCTTCCATGTCCCTTCCAGCATACCTTCAACTTACTCCCCATTGACTGTTGTCACTGACTCAGCAGCAGTTCCTGTGCAGTCCTGCACTCTCTTGATTATCCACATGCTGCTGGCAACAGCACTCCTGGCCTCCCTTTCCATGAGCACGCACTCTGACTGTGCCTGCATATGTCACTGTCAGCATTTACGCCGAATTTAATGTGACTCCTTAGGGTTCTGTCCTCTTACCTATATTCCATAAAGTTACCAGAGTCCATCCAGTTTCTCTGATAACCTGCATGTCCACTTTGTATCCCTGCTCTGTGCATGGTTTTGGTCATATCCCATTGGCCAGACTTTTCACTCTATGTGTCTTTGTTGATTGCTCAACCAAGTCTCCACTGAACCTGCATAAGGAGGGGTTAATGCTAAGCAAGGACATTTCCCTGTATAGCTATAAAAGGATCATACAGGCCATATTTCATTACAGCATGGCCTAAGAGCAGGAGAAAAACATGAATATTGGAGGCCTCTCTTTGTCAGGAAATGGGATTTCCGCAGGTGCTCAGTTGCAAATGCTCTGCATGCTTCTAAGGCTTGGCACATGGCATTGCTGAATCCTGATTCAGGATGCAAGAATGTTTCGTGACCCCTGCCATGAAAACTGCTGTCTGGCCATGTTTGGAAATCAGCCGTCGATGATGACAGTAGACGAGTATGGGTGAAATGAGCAGCTTGGCTTCAGCACTAAGCAAGACTTGTTAAACATTGTAAATACAGATGTCCAATTCATATTTTGAATAATGAATATTATGAACTTTTCTGTAACAAGTGGTAAGAAGCTGGATCATCTTTCTTCATCTGCTCACTGCCTTCACAGAATTTGAAAGTGTGACGAAGTATTTCATCCCTTTACAGGATTAGGTAAGATTGGTAACCATAACTCTTGTATAGAATTACATAGAAATACCCTGGACAGCCAAATATATTGATTTAAGACCATCTATGTGGTGGCAGGGAAATTGTTTCCATTTTGGTTTATCCACTTCTTGGGTTGGTCAGGTAATCCAGCTGACTTCAGTTGTTTGTTCTTTTGGACAAAAAGCTACTGCTGGTACAGGCCTGTACAATTTCTGTCCCAGTGTAGCTCTTCCATCAGGTATTCCTGTTATTTGTTTTGCTTCTGCATGAAAATTAAGGAATTGGAGAAATAGCACCAAAACTCTACATGAATGAAATTCTCAAGGCTGTTAAGGAAATAGATATATTAGAAATAGGGTGTTTCTGTGCTCATTCTGTTCTCACATCCCTTGGACAAGTCACTGTTATGCGTGGAGAGAAATATTGCACACGACTGTTAGGAGTGTGTGATGTATCTCTGTGTGAGGGGAAGACATCCCCTGATGTGCTCCTTGTTACTATCCATATGTGTTTGCCCCTTTGAGTAAATTACAAGTCCCTGGTGCTGCTGTGGGTGTATCAGCAATAGTTTCCCACTGCCTCCTTATTTGCCCAGTAGTGTGGCTGGGTGATGCCCACACCCACTCTGCTTCACTGGTGATGAAGTGGCAGGTGTTGCCCTGCCTCCTGCCTCTGTGCTCCTCTTCCTCAGCCTCCTTGCACTGTGGTATGACTCAAGAATAACGAAAATGCAATTTTCTATTCTTTGGGGAGTAGTAAATTTTTGCTAAAAAAACAAACCAAATGCCATTCTCAGAGTGGCCCAAGATCTGTGTTGGGCAACACATTTAATTTGGTTTTCCAGGTTTTTTTAACCACCTACATGTGACTAAGAATTTTTTGAACCATCTGTCTCTTGCTGATTAAAATGTAATTAGGTACCAAGGACCTTTAGGATTTAAAGTGTTCCCAAGAGATGTGTGGCAGTGTCCAGTGTCATGTCTGGTGAGGAATAACAAAGTGAAGCAGTTTGGGTGTAGTAAGTCATAATTTACTAATTGCTGGATTAAGACTAAGGAAATAAAGAGCCTGTTAGCAGGCCTCCATGTTTTGAGTATCTGGAGAGCAGAGGGGCTTACTTTGTATGAGGCCCATATTATGCTGTGCAGGGATTCCCAGTTCAGGGTCAAAAATACTGGAAGTCCCCTTTTACCATGGAGCTGACAATTAGCTTGCTGCCAGAGGGAAAACCAGTCTTTAAGTGGTGAGTGAACATAGTATCAGAAACGGACCTTGACAGAGGGGCAACACACAGTCAGACCGAGTGACATTCTTCACACCTGCTGTGGTGGATAACAGTAGCTGGCTGACTTACCCCGTGGCACTACAAGCACAGCATTGTGCTGTGACACAGCCTGGACAGCGATTGAATTACACACCGATTAGGTCTTCGGCTTCTCCCTGTCAGTGTGGACAATGGAGAATCAGAGAAGTGGACACGAGAGCTTTAGCAGGCCTTGTGCTCTCGATCGGAGGAGGATTAGTTTGTAAATGGTAAATTGTGTTGGGGCCAAGAGTCGTAAAACTGAACTCTTGCCCTTCTGCTGCCTCAAAGGCACAGGCTTTGCAGAAAACTCCTTCTCCCCCCTTCTACTAACTGCTGTGATCAGGGGAGGGGTGGACATATGGAATCTACTCCTCCTTTTCTCTGCCAAAGAAGGAGGAAGACACTGGTACATTTATACAAATTTTGCTCCTCACTCTTACTATCTTTTCTTAGGAAGGGCGTGGGATTGAGTTGATCAGTCTTCTGCCATTTCCACAGGGATACGGATTTGCCTGTCATGGAGGTGCTGCTGGCTGGGTCACTGCCTGGTAGAGGGTGTCTCTTAAACCTGATATAACCTGAAGCATGCACTTTCTTAGGAGGTCTACAGCTGGGCTGGAGAACTGCAAACGTTCATCCTTTCACTCCTGTCATCTGCTTCCACATGACTGCAGTGCCTCTGCTGTGCTCTCAGCTCACTCACCCTGAAACGCTCCTTGTGATGGTTTGTACTGAGCTGCTACAGAGCAGACTTTGCTTTTGGTGGCAGTATCCCTTGTTGCTGCGTCATTTATAGAAGAGATGACTTCATCCTTGCCTTTATTCCACTGGGACCAGCTGCCCTACACACAGGAACCAAAAGAGGCAAATACCTATAACCTCTTTCAATTTCCTATTGAAGGCCTACATCACATGAACTTCTTGGGGTTTTTTGAGAGGTAAAGCTTTTTAATTTTTTACAAACAAACAAAAAAAAACCCCAAAAACCCCAAAACTACAAACCAGAAACCAACCTAAAACCAACAAAACCAAAACCTACCAAAAAAAAAAAAATCAAAACCTACACATTGAACCCAAGTTGGAGAAACAGCTGCATCGTGTGACTGATACAGTGCATGGGAGTACAAAGCATTCCCACTGGTCTTGCACATCCACTCATTGTGCCTATTAATAGCTGTTAGGCATGAGTGTAGACACAGAGATGGGCAGGACTAGTTTTGCCGTGCGAGCATTTATCTGGTGGCCCCATCCTATTTGCTAGAACCAGAGATTTCACTGTGATAAAGTGGACATCTTAAGTCATTGTTGGAGACAGGAGGATGTATGTTCACTTAAATTAAGCTATTAATTTAAAGCTATTAAATTAAGCTATTAATGCCTAAGGTATTAGGCATTCTCATATCTTGGAGTATTCCAGTAAATAGCAATTTATATAAGCAATGGAAATATGTCCTTCTTAATCTGTAAAAAGAAAAGGACAGTCTTAATGATCTCTCAGTGTTTCAAATCCTCGTAGGGCATATTGATCCTGAATCATCACAGGAAAATTCAGCAGGGGTGTTTCTATTAGTGATCTAGGAATTTAGATGTGGTTGGATACATGGAAAACTGTATCTTGTTCAGTTGTATTTATTACTGTAATAAATGATACCATATCTCTTCCTACAGACTTTATATTTTCTGTTCATAGTGTTGGCATTTTATTTTGTTTTGAGCTGAGAAACAATGCATATTGTAAGTTTGTAAGAGGCTTTTATGAATATACCATTTAAAAAGACTTGCTCCTGCTCTGGTTACTAGTTTGAATTGAGAAAAATACTTATATTTCATGCTCCTGAAAGCAATAGCGGATTTGCTGTAATACACCAGTTCGGAGTAATCTGCTCATAAACCTTCTGTTCCAGAAAACTCCCAAACCTCTTGCACCTATTTTCTCTAACAGGTGGCAAATCCTTAGTGCTTCTCAAAAATGTTCAGAAGTGTGTAGGGTATGAAGGCTTTGCTTTGGTTTATTTTTCGTAAAGCTTGGTAAAAAAAAATGAATGAGAGAAATTCATCTATTGCTTAATGCAGTCACTACTGATAACTGAGAATTCATTTTCAAAATTGGAAAATAAGAGCTATTCTAAGTAGTCACTGTTGGTTTTAACGCTACGGGGTATTTAAAAGATAAGTTTTAAAGGAAAAAAAAGGAAAAACATTCATTCATGAGTGCTGATACAGGAATGACAGAGGTTAATACCACTGACATCATGTTGGAACTGTATAGCATTTTGTTAATGGTTATTAATGCCCTGCTGCTGGGAGACAGACAGTGCCAGCTGCCAGTTAGTGTGGTGCCTCTGAGGGTGTGCCTGGGCCTCTGCTCAGAAAGGAGAGGGGCCTGAGGAAGGTTCAAGTTTGCTCCCTCCACTGAAACAGGAGGAGAGGAGATACTGAGAGAAGGCAGTTGCAGCTCCTGCTCCTGTGTATGCTGACCTCAGAATAGGACTCAGAGAGTGAAGCAGGAGCAGCAGACATCTACAGAGCTGCGCCCAGGAGATACTGAGAGCTTTGGTTCAATTCAGATCTTCAGGACTAAACTCAAATATCCTTTGGAAAAAAACAGCAAGAAATTGAGACAAACGTGCATGGAAATGATGTCAGTAGGTCTGGGGAAGAAGCCTAAGTTCATGTAAGAGAGTGTTAGAGCTTTGTACATCAGTGGAAAGACGTCAGAAATGGTATAGAGAGAAGGAGAAAAGCCCTTGAGAGGAAGGCAAAGGAACTCTGTAATGGCAGAATGATGATGGATATGGAACAATTAATTAGCTTTGACTACATCATATTCGTTGCACATCCAGATTTGTGGGTTTAGCTGCCTCACTTGGGGCTAGCTGTTACTTTGGATAATACCTTTGAATTTCATACATCATAAGGGAATGAAACAGATACAGAAAAGTGCAATACATCAGTGTAGCATATCAAATTGAGAAAGGCATTTTTAGCAGTCTGTGCTGAATGCAAGTTTAAGCCTGCATTAGATTATTTCTTAAGTGTATTGTTGTTATGACAAATCTGAAAGGAGCTAAAAGCATTTTAGTAGATCAAAAAAGGAAACTTTGATTTCCTTTCCCACAGCCTGGACCCAAAATGGGATTGCCAGACAGGCTTACATGCCCTGGCCGTGTACCACACAATCACCCACTGGTGAAAGTGAGGGAAACATGTGGAGATGAGTTGTAAATCCTCCAGGAGGAACCGGCTCACCAGGCCTCTCCAAATCATTCAGCTTCTAGATCTCTTTAAATGCTTGTGTAATGTAACCTGAATAATACACTGAGAACGTTTAGCCAAGAAATGCCTGATGGCCATTTTGATAATGGATGCTGTCTGATGTGCCACACAGACAGCAGGCATGTGTCGTATTCTCTATAATGGTAAGAAAAAAATAGACTATCACTACTTATGTTTTCTAAAAGGGAAGATGAGTTGTTCAATTCCATGAACATCAGGTTTGGGGACACAGTTTCATGAAAAAGCCCATTAATTTTGCACACTCATTAATTATTAGAAATAAATGGAAACGTCCATGTAATATTGTACATGTACTCTCCAATTATATAGCCTAGTATTCAAGCACAATGATTTGTACAGACTCTATTTTCTCAGGTCACTTTTACAAATAGAATTGCTCACACAAATAGTTTCTGGTCAGTTCCCTTCAGTGCAACACCCTGAGCATGCCTAGCAGGAGCAGCAGGTCACTGGGTGTGGTTGTTCCCCTCTGCACAGCAGCCTGTGAGAGGGGATGGCACCGGAAGCATTGTATCCAGTTTTGGTCTCCCTTGTACAACAAAGACATCATACTGGAATGGGCCACCAAGGTGAGGGGCTGTAGCCTGTGATATGCCAGTAGGGAACTGGGCTTGTTCAGCCTGGAAAGGTGCTCTCTCTGTCCACAGCCACCTGCTTGGAGAGCATGTGGAAGGTAGAGTCCCATTTGTGTTGGACAGCAAATACCTTGGGCAAAAGGCCCAAGTTGGAGCAAGGGCAATTCAAAGGAAGTGCTAGAAAAAATATTCCCAAAGAACATGCTAGGCTTTGGAACAGGGACCTAGAGAGGAGGTGGCTTCTCTGTCCTTGGAGATGCTCAGAATTCGTACTATTGATTGACTAACTATTACTGCAGTAATAGTTCTCAATTAAAAAGATAAATGGAACTGTTTGCAGAGGGCATTTTTTCCAGGTGTAATTTTTAGTGCCTTGAACTCCATGTGAATAGAGAATTTTCTAATGGAGCTTACTTTGTAAGCAGTTGATTTGACAGAGTAGTTTTGGGCATGCACTGGCATGAAACAACAATTACAATGCCAATAATGTAAATACATGTATTTAACAGTACTTTCATTTTTTAAGTCTATTTCAGCTACAAGCATCATCCATATTAATTTTTCAGTGTCATCATAACTGCAGTTAAATTGTTTGTCTGGTTTTAAGGATTCTCTTTAATGGTAGCTAACTAAAACAGTTCATGTTGTTCTTTCCAGTAGCTCAGACTTCTATAATTACTACAAAAAATTTACAAGGAAAAAAACGTGTAACCAAACATGACTATTTTGAAGAAACTCAGAATGAAAGTGTGGTGGTTTGAAAAACCTTTTCTCCGGGGCAGTAATGGTTTGCCCCACTGATAATACTAGACCAATCAAAAGTTCATATGCGCCCTATGGAAATTACATACCCACAGCAACGGAAGAGAAGGTGGTGAGGTAGTTTTTTAGTAGGTTGGTAGCCATGATCTGAACCACGAGGAAGCAGGGGGCCAGTGAGCCCCCTCTGGGGGCCAAGAGCCCCCAGCCCCAGCTGAGGCTATGGGAGACCCGGTGTAGTGTCAAAGCTGGACCGGGTCCCGTAATCAAGAGGTGGGAGAACTTCCTTACTGTCAGCAGCAGCAGAAAACATTGAAAGCGGCAGCAGAGCAGTCCTGAACGGAGACAGCGATGGCTGAAAGCCAAAAAGATAGCCAATAACAACAAGATAACATGAAGCCGGCTGAAAGACGCAGAGATGTTCCTGCAGGAGGGAGAGCTGGCAACGAAACAGAGGAAAACTCAACAGAGCTGGTTTGGGGTAAGACTGTATTAATTTCCCAAAACTCAGAGACCTGTTGAAGAGGAGGGGTGGACTTCCAAACCTTTAGGGAGTCCCAAAATGCAGCAGCAGCTAGAGTGAGACAGAGGACCCGAGAAACCCGGAGTCGTCCTGAGAGCTGAGCCAGGATGGAACACGGGGGAGGTGGCCGTGCCCTCTGCTGCTGCTGCTGCTGCTTCTATCATGCTGGGAAGCTGAGACAGAGCAAAAGAGCTTTGGTAAGACTGAACTGAAAGCTGCCTTCAATGTTCTACCCCAAGAGGAGTGAAGATCTACAAGGAAATCCCCCGAAGGCTCGGGCTCGGGGTTGAAATTTCCACAAAGTAAGAACCAAAATCCTGACTGCCATACTTAAATCTGCTGCCTTAGGAAAATGAAGGACACTAACCAGTGCCACAAAAAACTGAAACGAAGGAACTGTGGCCTGTGCAGTGACAAGAAAGACTTTTCTCTTTCCTTCTTGGACTTTTATTGAAGGAAAAGAGGAATTTAATTCAATGTAAATATATATATATATATATGTAGGTGTAAGTAAATAAACCTTTGTAAATATTTTTCCCTTCCCCCAATAACGAATGGTTGTGTTTTGTCTGAAAACTCTCCACATGAAGTGAAAAAGATATCAAGTCCATACCATCACTAAACCCTCTCACAGGGGCAGACTGTGGGAGGGGGGCTTGAACTTAAAAATTGGATCCTTGGGAGTTTCAAACCACCACAGAAAGTAAGAGTGGAATTCAAGAAAATAGACTCTCACTCATTACTTTCTAATCTTTGATTACTCTTTAATTTTGTTGGTAAATAATATTTAGAAGATTTCAATTGCAGGGACTCAAGCTTGACTTTTCATTTGCATTTCAAATCTCAGCAAATCAAACAAAAGCAGAATGAAGATAGGGAAGCCTCCACTCATTCTAGCACAATCACTGCAGGATAGCCCCTGCAACCCAATATATTTCTAGGCTTTGCCTCTCTTGA